AGAAGAGAAAAAAGTCCCTAAAATAGTCCTTACCGTGACAACGACTCGCCCACCACAAGGATTTTCAAGGATAAAAACCTCAAAACGAAGAGACGTTTCTCTGCTCCTGTGGACGAACAGCGAGTGCACAGACCATAATAAGTTAAACCACAGTCACAGACATCATTCCCTCCCACCAGTATGAGCCTTTCACTGCATGGAAAGTAATCCGTGGATTGTCTGCTTTGTTTGGGTTTTGGACATTGACTATTTGAGACTGTGAGTGTGGTGGTAAAGGGATATCTGAGGGCTGCTTCACGCAGGAGCTGAGAAATATAAAAAGACAAGCGACCTTTTTTTTTATAAGTGTAAGTTTGTGTATCTGTGTGTGTGTGTGTGGGGGGGGGTCTGGTTCTTTTCGTGAGAGAGGATATGTGTGTGATTTTTCTTTTTTTTCTGTGAAAGTGGTTTGGGCCGTATCGTTTGATATCCAGGGGAGGTGTTGCGTTACAACTTAACTAATTTTAATCAAAACATGTGAAACGCTATCCACGCTTGATGTAAGCCTGCCCCGGCTGAATCTCAGCGACGGCCCCAGTTTGTTGCCTTTGGCTGCAACTCTCTCTGTGGTTTGGGATATGGCTTGTCACTCTCACAAAGCAGATGTTTGTCTGAACTGCCAAAAAGAAACAAAAACAACATTGTGGGAAGCGGAGGGGTGGGTGAAGAAAACATGGCCTGTCTTTGGTTAAGCAGAAAACAGACGGTTTCAATGACAGTGGGATGTAAAGATCTGTGTGGGACGTCAGGAGGAAAACCCTAAAGATGTACATCTCCAAAAGACGAGAGGACAAAGTGGGGGACAGACAGAGAGACAGCCAGACAGGGAGGTCCAGTCCAGTCCAGTCCAGTGTTGTCTCTGGAATACATCTGTTTCAACACCACATTCTGACCCACTCCCTCCACGTCAGACCCCGAGCACAGCACTCGGACACCGGATCCCTGACTTTAATCATCGTTAGGCATATTTAGCATGATATGATACCGCTGCTCCACTCACCCACACACTCTCTCCCAGACGCACACAGCAGAAAGTGAGCAAGCAGAGGGAGAGATCCATTTCTCTGAGGCCCAAGTGCAGAGCAGAGGTCGAAGTGAGGAAAGCAGGGGAAAGAATGTGCAGTCACTTACTACAACAGCACCACCACAGCAGACTGGCTGTGCTAGAAAAGGCTGAAACCTGAGAGGCAGCGCTGTGTCGGGTGTCAGGGCTGGAAGGTGCCGGGGCGGAGGGGAGGATGGTGGAGATGGGAGATGGTTGGGTGGGTGGTGGTGTTGAGGCGAAGGGGAGGGGACAGGGAAAGCTGGAAAAGAGAGTGGGAGAGAGTGGTGGACACTGGAGAGAGGAGAAGAAGAAGAAGGGAGAGGAGTGGGGCATTTCCGAGAACCGTGGGACCTTGCTGTGGTGTAGGGTGTCCCGCTCTGATTTCTGCCCGTTTCGGATCAGGTTTCTCCTCCAATCCGGTTCTCCCAAAGCCACAGAGAGAGGTGGGTGGATAAAAAGAGAGAGACCTTTGTGTTTTGTTTTTTTTTATTTTTTCATCTGGTGGTAATAAAAAAAAACAGAAAGAGAGACCACACATCCCATCTGTGGAGAACAGTTTTCTTTTCTGCCTCTTTTTTCCAATTAAAAAAGATAAACAAAGGATGATTCATAGATTTCACACTGGTGTTAGGTTTTAAACCTTTCCGTCTCAGATTTAGCGAGAGTAAACAACTTGAATACATCATGGAAAAAGTGTCATACTGTACTACACACTGTGGCCCATATTCATTTCTCCAGCAGGGCTGGGGCTGAGAAAGAATCCTTCACATTGATTCAGACTAGGAAGGTCTGATTATGTTTAACATAGGATAAAAAGTTCCACTAACAAACCCTAAGATGCACGCTCACAGTTTCCCTCCCAGAGGCAGGCTGCAGGGCTCAGCTAACAGATCCCTTTACATAGAACCTTCATCACTCATTTGTTGTTTTTTTTTCTTCTCTCCTGCAGACGTTTGCAGAAAGCACCATGAACGAACTCCTGGGATGGTACGGCTACGATAAGGTGGAGCTCAGAGAGTCGGAGGCCAACGAGATCAGAAACTACAGAGAGAGGCGTCAACATGTGTCTGTGCTGAAAGGTGAGGGCAGGTGTCACCCGTCCACCACCGGAGCAGGGCCGTCGTCAGTTTACACTACCTGACAGGTTGTGCTGGTTTCCACGCAGACATTGAGTCACTGTTCATATTTGCTCCACACGCTCTCCTGTTGATGCAGCATCTAGGGTTTCATTCATTCAGCGCTGTCTTTTGTTTCCCGTATTTACACCATTGTCACTGTTGTGACTGTATCGTGTTCATCCCGGCCGCTTCGCTGTGAGTTACCATCTTCCTTTTCATTCCAGAAAACTCATTGCCAAAGCCCAAACACCTGGACACCAAGGTCAGTAATTCAGTGCTGGCCATAAAGAGCGGAGAGAGAGACCCCTCCAGTGTCCCCTCTTCTTCACCCTCCTCTTCATCAACGAGCTCAACACTGACAAACCCCAAGGAGCACAAGAGCGCCCCCGTCATTGTTCCACTGATAAAACCGTCAGCAGGTACGTGAGGAGGTCAAGGGTTGGTTTTCTTTGTTCTTGTTCGATCATGATTTTGGAGTTCCCTGCTCACTCGCCTTAACACAAACAAACAAATCAAGGGTCACAGGAAAAAAAAAAAGATGTAACATGTAATATGTTAAGCTGTCCTACACATAGGATTAAAGTTAATTAAGTAATATGTTAAGCTGTCCTACACATAGGGTTGTATCTGAAGTAGCAGGATAACAGAACCAGGACTGGATGTAAAGAAGGTCATGACCCCATGTCGTTGGACAGCAGGAGTGGACTCCTTTGACACCTTCACTGTTGTCCTCTTCTCTTCATGTTTGCCCTGCAGTGGAGGATGTACAGAATGTCCAGATCGTCTGTGTTTGGTGCCAGAAGGAAGGTGTGAAACGCTATTCCCTGTGTATGGGTTCCGATCTAAAGAGCTTCTGCAGCGAGAAGTGTTTCGCCGCCTGCAGACGAGCCTACTTCAAACGAAACAAGGTGAGTTGTGAGCAGACAGCGGTTGACCACCAGGAAGTTCATTTGACTGTGTTCCTGCCATGGCGTCATGCTTTTGATTGGACCATTGGTTTACCAACCTTTTACACAACTTTATGTGCATCACTGCCACCTACTGGCTGGAGTGTGTGTGCTGCATTTTTTTTTTTTTTTTTTTTTTTTTTTGCTGTACCTGATTAATCATAGCCAACGCGTTGAAGCCCCAGCTCTAGTTCATACATTACGTTTGTACAAGGGTCACACACATGTACATACAGGTACTGTGTGCAAGTTAATACCAGCTGTGTCTTTTACCAGAGACAGAGGAGCCAAGCATCAAGTGGTTCCTGGCAGGTAAACAGACCTTCAGAAACTGATACTGCTGATCTGTGAGGTCATAGCAGATGGATTAATTTACAGGAATTCAAAAAGGGGAGTGGGCCTCTGAGAACTGACTTTATGGCTACTATAGAGGAGCCTGTGGAGCAATGGTGGGAGGGAGGTCAAAGTTTGTAGAGGACACTTAGTATCAGTTTCATGTTAATGGAGGAGGGTGCTGCCCATTAAGTGGCTTCAGTATGGAAAATGGGAAACTACGGAGAGCCGCTCTGATTCACATCGCCACCATTTTTCCCCTTTCCTTACAACAGGGATTTAGCCTTGTCGGTGTGGGGTGACACACGCTGGTTTCACCTTTCACCTCTGCTGTCATTTATACTGCGGTTGGTTTATCCACGGGACAGCAGAGACAAAAACGAGGCTTGAACAAACTGTGAGCAACAAGCCCTTCACTTTTCAGAGGTGGGGAGGAAAGCCTCGCCGTTGGCTTGTTACTGCTTGTCTGAGAGGAAGGCCAGGAGGCCTGGGGCGAGGTGTCCACTTTCAGTGCATACCTTACCTTCAGCTGCCTCATGTTTCGTAACTCAACACGACTGAGTGGGTCACAGAGACGTGGGAGCACTCAGATCCACGGCGGATCAGCTTACACGAATCAAGAGGAATTTCCTACATTCAAAGTGGCAAGGCCATTAATAATATGACAATACATCACCTGCATTATCTCACTGCGCAGTTGTGGAGTCGTATCACTTTCAAAACAGACATTTTCTCCTTGTTGAGCTGACCCCTAAGGGTTTGCTACCATTAGTGAAGTTCACGCTGCTTCCAAACTTGATGACAACAGAATTTATTATGAGCACTTCTTGTATTTATTATGTAAGAAACTCAGCTTTGGCTTCATAAACGCAGAATATTTCCAGTGCTGCATTTTGACTTGGAGAAAAAGGACTATCACATTCCCCAAAGAAGTTTAAAAGTTTAAACCTAAAATAACAGTATGGGTGATTTCAGACATTCAAAGATATTTAAAAAGCATTTATGACATTTGCCCTCCCCCCGCTTTAGCATTTATGACATTTGCCCTCCCCCCCACAAAAAAGTCTTCATTTTGTTGTATTGCAAATGATGTGTTCAAAATTTGCAAAATTGGAAAAGGAAAAAGGAAATCAAATGTTTCTCTTTAGCAGGCACAACAGCAACAACAACTATAATGTAGAACTCTTGTTGCAGCTTGAACGTTGTATAGCTTGCTTGTCAACAGCAAACATTGCTCTGGTCAATGATGATGATCAAAACAGCAACAACTAATTGCTACTTGTACATGTCCAAGAGAAGTGTGTCCAAATGATGTCATCGTGTACAGGCACAGAGGGATAGAACAGTGCTTTGATTAGCTCGCTTGCTAACAGTACAACACTGTATCTTTACCTGCTTCTTTAACCAATGGGCAAAGACAAGAATAAACATTAGACAATAGACATATAGAATGCCCTCTACTGGCAAAAGCGGTAACTACATTAGGCAGTCTAAAGTGAACTGGAATCTGTTTGAACTTAGGCCCATGTTTAAACTGATGTTCCAAATTTGAATGTAAAGTGACAGGCCTGGTGGTTTCTCAGCTACATCATCATGATTTAGAAACTCCAGGCATATAAAAGTTGGAAGAAATATTTCACTGTAAATGTTACGAGTGTCAAACACTGTGGTTTCCCCCTGTCAGGCCAGAGATGAAGACCTCCACGGTGAGAGATCACCTCAGCACCCCCACTCGGAGGACTCGCCCAGACTGGTTTTAAAAGTAAACACCAATGTCAGAGTAAGAGGACACTATCAATGTATCTTTTCAGATTCCACACTGTAAAAATAAACCAAGGTTTGAACTGCTCCCCCCAATGGTAATTATAATCATAATAAGTTGACACATAAAAGCAACGCAATGGAGCCTTTTTAAATTAGACACATTCTGGTGAAACATTTGAATTAAAAGTTCTTATGAATTCTGAAAAGGTTGGAAAACACAACTGAAAAAGCTCAGCGATAGTTAAAGGTAAAGCTAGTCCAGGAAAGTCAGTATATATATTTGGTCACAAAATCTGGTCCTAAACCCTCTAAAGTGACCCCCCGCAGTCTCTCTCAATAGTTAGATAGATAGATAGTAAAATCTGGTCCTAAACCTTCTAAAGTGACCCCCCGCAGTCTCTCTCCCCTGTGCCACAGGTATGTGACTGGTGCAAACATGTCCGTCACACTAAGGAATACCTCGACTTTGGATCTGGAGAGGAGCGCCTTCAGTTCTGCAGCACCAAGTGTCTCAATCAGTACAAGATGGATGTTTTCTATCGGGAGGCACGTGCAGCTCTGACCAGCAGCAGCTCCAGTCCAAGCAGAACCAGTCAGGAAGGAAGGGTGGACAACAGTGTCACTGGACAAAAGTTACTCACTCCTGAGTCTTGGAACTGCAACAACGGTGCAGCAGAGGCTCGCCACCGAAATCTCTCACCTAAAGGTCTGTCCATAATCCATGGATCAGCAGAATCTACAGCAGTCTCCTCCTCAGAAGCATCTTCATCGTCATCTTCTTCTTCTTCTTCAACTTCCTCTTCATCTGCCAAGGCGTCTCTTTCTGGGCTAAGAAGTCTAGAGAGACCCATTCAGCCTCCTGCACACGTGCCTACCGTGGAGATGTCACCCCACCCTCCTCACCTTGCTCCTCCACCTCATCTCCCTCCTCGTTTGCCCTTAGAACATCCACCAGTGCCTCAAATCCCTCTTCCTTTTATCCGTCCACCTCTTCACGCTCAGGGCCTGAGAAGCCCTCTCGCCAATACTCCTCGACACCCTGCCCCCCCCTCCAGTCCTATCCACAGACCTGCTCATTCTCCTCACCTCCAGGCCCCGACTCCTTCTTCCATAAACCCTCCAGGACTAATGCATCCCTATCCAGGAGCGTACTTCCCTGGCTTACACTCCCCTCCTCTCAACATGATGCCAAGGGGTCCTGTCCCAATGCCCCCTCTAATGAACTTTGGAATTCCTTCCTTTAGCCCTCTTCTGCCTCATCCAACCGTCCTCGTCCCTTATCCCATCATTGTACCTTTACCAGTCCCTATACCCATTCCTATTCCTTTTCCAATCCCTTCCAAGTCAAACCCAGAAACTCCGAGCCACAATGGAGTTATCCAGCCTGTGCCAGAGGGAACGGACAGGATCAGGTCCAGGAGTACCAGACTGCAATCGCCAGTGAATCATGACAGAGAGAGTAGATTGGTACCTGACAAGCTCAGTGCAACCTTGACTCAAGGTCTCCATTCCCCAAATGATCTTAACAGTAGGGACACAGAGTGGGTCAAACAGGAGAGGCCATTCCCATCCCCAACATCCACACTTAACGGTGAGAGCTCCTCTCCAAGAGGACAGTACAACGAATCAGTCTGCCCCACTCCAACAGAGGTCCTGACAGACTATAAGCAGCAGCCGTCAGAGCGCCAGGTCATCCAGAGGGTTCTTCAGAGAACACAGGTGAAGCAGGAGCCCACTACCAATGGAGTGGTAGACCTGTCTGGGCTCGGGGAGACGCTGACTGGGCAGGGTACCAGAGCTGGACTCCTCAACATTATTAGACCCACGCCACCTCCACCAGAATCCCCTTCACATGACAGCGTCCACCATCAGGACCCCCCCACTCCATCGTCACTCACCACGCCCAGTCCTACAGGGAGCAGTCATCCCGATAATGTCACATCTTCTGCTCCTAACTCTCAGGACCACTGTGCTAATGGAACGTCCTCATCGTCCACACCCTCCAGTCCAGACCCCTCCCACATACAGAGAGTGCCAGCCCCGCCCCTCGACCCCCCAATCAGTGAGCTGGAGGCCATCAAAGAGAACAAGTGCTCTGTTGTCGGCCCAGCAAAGGTTGAGGGCCTAGTCGCTCAGTCTGAGGAGCCTGTAGCCGTCGTCGGAGAGGTCGGAGATGACCCCCATGTTCCCGATGAGGACCACGCCTACGCCCTTCCCACAGCGCCAAAGACAGGTGGGACCACCACCCCACTGCTCTTGCCCAAACTCAGAGACAAGGGTAGTCTGCGGAGCCCTGCGAATATCCCCGCTGCTGGAGACATGGAGCCAGCCCTGAAGAGGCGATGTCTACGAATACGAGATCAGAATAAATAAAGAATGGAGGTGAGAGATTTGATTATTGAGTGACTTTTAAATTATGGTTGTTTTTAAATTATGACAATTAGCATGATTGAGTTGCACCTCCTCATCTTCAAACATCTGTTAAATATACGTATTCTAACAGGCTAGCTTAAATTTAGTTTTTGCCTAGCATTCAGCATATTTTCTAGTTTTTGTCCCTTTAAAATCTGTGTTTTGTTGTTTTGATATATTTATGCCAAGTAATTTCTAGCTTTTGTCCCTTTAAAATCTGTCATGTGTTGTGTTGTTTTGATATATTTATGCCAAGTAGTGCAAAATGTATTTACTTTCTAATTTCAAGCAAACTTTTTTGCTTATTTTTACGCTCTTCTTCATTTAACTTTAGTTATTGTGTTATTCTTCTCTTCTGAGCCGACATTTAGCTACAGTAACTACATAAAACTAATTTCAGGTTTTTTATTTATGCTGGCTATTTTTTTTTATCAAGTATTTAGTTGTATTTTTGATCTATTACTTCTGGTCTCTGAATGTTTTACTTTTAGCCATTTTCCCACATACCATTTTGTTATTTGGTTCATTTTTAGCTTTTTAATGTAACTGTTTCTAACATAGTTTTGGTTTATATTTGGCCTTTTTTGTTCAACTCATCACCACTTGTTTTTCTGACCGATCTTGACTGTCTTTTGGCTAATATTTAGCCATGTCTGGCTACCCTTTAGCTTTTTCTGGCCTCTATTTTTGTTGTCTTGTGTCAAAGTGAAACAGAGCCGTTCAGACAAATATAAGAGTCGACTGTTGCCTTGTGGCAAACCTCACCCCTGTGGTACATATTCCACACAGATTAAATTATTTTTAAAAACCATTCAGCCAGGGTCTGGAAAAATGTAAAAAAAAAATGTACAGGGCAAACTTAATCACAGCTCTGACAGTGTGCATGTGGTCACTAAAGTGCACGGCGCCACAGACAGAGAATCCCAGTAACCTGGCACTGCTGTTAGGTCTAAGGTTACAGCAGAGAGAGAAGGTGGAGGGCACAGGCAGTGAGAGTGACTTTGAAAGACAATGGCTTCACCACAACCTGACTCTGACAAGGCTTTGTCTGCATGACTGCCTTTTCTGTGCCATCAGTTCTGCAAAAGGACGTAAAATAATCTACCGTCGTCCAATCAAAATCAGACAGAATCCATGTCCAAAGGTTTGGTCTGGGGGCAAGTTGTGGTGTTTTGACAGGTTTAGTGTGGTCTGTTGTGATTTAGCCTACTGTCAGTGAGTATAGTGTAAGTGTTTTTATAGTATAATATAACGTTTATTTTTTACATAGATATGATTAGTTAACATTATACAGATGATCCATATTTTGTTTTTTATATTTTTGATGATATATGTTGTTTTTTAGAAATTTATGGGATCCAATTATGTTGGAATGTGACAATTATATCATTTTATTATTTTGATAGTATGGGATCCAGTTATGTTGAAATGTAATATGAGAGCAAGCAAATTTGTTAAATGTGTAACAATTATATCATTTTATTATTTTGATAATTAATTTAGAATTTCCGTCCAATGGGTTGTCGGCGCAATTCGCCCTCTTGTGGTTCAAATGTGCAACCGCACTCATCAACAACTTCCCGCCAAAACGTTGATGAATGCAATTGCTCCCTTTCGTCAATAGAGGGCCTGGCGTGCAGAAAATCTTTTGGCCGGACCTCGTTGTTGGCAGAGTTAAACCGATCGCATTAACTCACAAGATTTCATCATAAAATGTGTCGCTACGCTAAACTGCCCTCGTGGAACATGAACAAAACAGTTGTCTTTCGATAGTAGAAAACCAAATTAAAAATTTAAATAATGCTAATACGTTTCAACCTTATAACCAATAATTGTGCTAGTTAATATATCCGCATAGCTAAATCAGCTAAGTTCACCGCCTCACAGCTTAAATGCTGCGTTTTTTTTATGCGTCATGATGATTGTTGAGTACGTGCAGGCGGCCAGTAGACGGCAACATTATACACAAAGAATAAATAAATAAATAACAACAGCTTATTTGGTTAAAACTGAGAAACAATATTGAGATTACCTGGATGTTCTATGTGGACTGCCACGCTGTCAA